AAATCAAGATATTTTGTAACCATTTCATCCTATGATGAATTCGGTCACAAAATGTATCTAAAACATTTGTTTTCTTTTGCTCTAGGTGTCCATTTTTGTCCGTTTTTGTCCCAACTGCACCTAGACTTTCTAATAAAAGAGAATGTAGATAAAACACATCTCCTGGGAAAGCTTCTCGACCTGGTGGTCGACGTAACAATAATGACATTTGTCGATATGCCACTGATTGTTTACTTGATCATCATAGATAATTAGAGCGTGCATTCCATTGTCTCAGAAAAATTCTCCCATAGCACAACCTGCATAAGGAGCAAGAAACAGAAGCAGTCCTGTTCAAGGCACCTAGGCCTCTTTTGAGAAGGGGCAAGCTGGCCATGATGTGGCGGCCTACCCTTTTTCCACTCCCACACTCTCCTACTCCCATTCTCCCTCCAGCCTCTTTTCTCCTCACCTTTGCTGACCGTTTTATTCCGGGTCTCATTAGAACCTCATTTTATGGGTTCAGCGTACCTGGGTCTTCCATGTTCAAGGCCCTTGTAGTTCCTTGCCTCCCTTTTGAGACCCTTCTTAATTTCAAGGCCTAAATGCCTCAAAATTGAGGTTCTCCCGCTCTTCTTCTAGTCCTTTTCATTTTGGCTCCCAAGGGCCACTTATTTTTCAGATTGTCCATGCCTAGGCACTTGCTTGGGTGGTGCCGACTAGTCCTTTTTTGAACCCTCTTTGCTTGGTTCATGTCCTTTGTGCTTTTTTCTCATGCCGTATTCAGGTGGTCCCCTCGGTCACATGCTATGATCTGATGTGCGGGCGTCAAAGCACTATTTTCCTTGGCGTCGTTGGCCCCTCTCTACTTGCGGTACTCAGCATCTGGGTATTATTTCTCTGGCGGTCCTCCTTCCTCAAAAAGAAGGGTCGTCTTTACTAATTCCCCGTAGCACTTTGTCGCCCGCCATTCCGTGGTTTATTCCTGGTCCTAAGGTTTTGGAGGTCTCAAACCTCCTCTTGGGTCCTTGGCGCCGACAATCCTGCTTTAGTCCTTCATCCTTTCTTTCTCTCTTGCCTCCTCATTCCGGATTCCTTTGTCGTGCACATCTTAGCCATATGTCATGTCTCAAGGGACGAGACATGATTCGGGAACCAAACGTCCCGACACCGATACCAGTTGCCCGCGGGCTGTCGACTGCATGGCTTGTCGTTCTGGAAGTCACCGAACTTGCTTGGGACGCTGCTGCAATTTTGGACTTCGGGACAGACTTTTCTGTCGTTTGACATGATTTTGGGCATGTCATGGGTGTGAAGCGAGGACCACCCGGTGAATTTCTATCGTCGCACGGTTCACGGTTCATGATCTGTTTGGCGAGCTCGTCCCTTGTACAATTCCTCTTCCTCACCCTTCGATTGGCTGGCACGTGGTGTCCACCACGAGCATTCGTTCATCCATCTCATGCGACGGAGTAGAAGAGATGGACTTTTGTTTTCTTCATGTCCTCCCTCTGTTAGACGCCGCATCTACACATGCATCGACGGATCCATGAATCGTAGAGTTGCTTGACACCTATGCGATGTCTTAAAGGCTCCCACCAGAGTCGTATTGGATCGGCCCATCCGCCACGAGACCATCCTCGAGGACGACATCATACCTCCACGCGGATGTATCTATCGCATAAGTGAGGAAGAACTCAAGGTGCTTCATACACAACTCGACAATCTCATTGTCAAGGGTTGGATTACCCCTAGCTCCTCGCCCTACGGTGCTCCAGTTCTCTACATGCAGAAGAAGAACAGAGACTTGAGGTTGTGCATCGCCTATTGCAAGCTCAATGCACAAACCATCAAGAACGTCGGCCCTCTTCCACGCATTAACGAACTTCGTGAACGGTTGGGCGACACCAAGTACTTCTCCAAGTTGGACCTCAAGTCGGTCTATCACCAAAATGAGATCCGACCGGAGGATCGATACAAGACCACGTTCAAGATGCGGTCCGGGCACTTCGAGTGGGTCGTCATGCCTTTCGGCCTTACGAATGCCTCCGCTGCTTTCCAAGCAACAATGGCTACGAAGTTTCGCAACATGTTGGAACAGTTCATGCTTATCTACCTCGACAACATCTTGGTGTATAGTCGGACTTCGGACGAGCACGTCGAGCACCGATGTGTCATTTTGGACTGGCTTCATGTGGCCAAGTATTAAGCCAATTGTGTGTGAATTCGCTCACCAAGGGCTCGAGTGCACTGATGAGCTTTCAACTAGAACCTACCCCTTTCTGCATCCCTCCCAACCGTCATTCCTCAGACACAAAATAGAAAAGCAGCAATGACTTAAAGTGACCACGAGTCACCCCTATGCCCAACCAGACTATGACTGGCAAGCCCTGATCACACTTCTATTGATAGGTGCACGAAGTATGACTCAGTTTCCCCGTCGGAGTATCTTTGAAGATGGTCCGGTGCATGTCTATCCCCCATAGAACTCGCCCTATCACAACTACAACTATTTCACAACAAAAGCAAAAAGACTTTTGCTCATGCGTGTGTGCTGTGCTCCCATGGGTTGACTTTCGATGTGACTCAATGCTTCGTCCCCCATGACACCTCACAGGCACCGCCTTTCTCCAACCAGATTGTGCCAGAAGAATGTCAACTCTCAAGATAGAGCGCTCTCTCACTCCTAACCAAGAGAGAACTCTCAAGAATGGACTCGATTCCTCACAGAAAAAAAACAATAAAGGACGGTAGATAAGGTTAGAAGCAAAGTACCTCAAATGTTGCTCTTAACCACAACTATCTCACCAGTTGTGAAGACATGCATTTCATTAACCGGTCGCAGCATTGGAACCACCGATAATACAATGCAATGCCTCCGTTGCTAATGCCACGTCATCTCGTTCACATCATCAATCATGCACCCACATTTTTCCAAAGCCCTCTTCCACACAGCACGATCGTATTCACACTGCACGGGGACCAACCCCACGTGCACCAAAGAAACAAATAGTGCTGGAGCCAAAGGAGTAAGCCCACAAACCAGCCCTGATATCAGATTGCAAGGAAATGAGCAATGTGAATGACAATAAACCAAACTGCAACATTTCTTAGAAATCAAGATAACTTTGAGCACGAACTGAAAGCAGACTGCAACACTTAGAGGATAGCATCCAAGTAAAGAAATTGACAATGCATGAGGGAAAGATGATCACAACATGAGCAAGAATCCAAGTAGCGATTTACAACCAAGTGGAGAAATGGGCAAAACATGGAGAGAGAGTGAGAGAATCTCACTCCCAAGCTTGAAAACTAAAAGACCAAAGTAGCGATTTACAACCAAGTGAGGGAAAGGACACTGCATGAGGGAAAGATGATCACAACGCTAGATTGAGCAAGAATCCAAGTAGTGATTGACAACCAAGTGGAGAAATGGACAAAACATGGAGAGAGAGCGAGAGAATCTCACTCCCAAGCTTGAAAACTCAAAGATCAAAGTAACGATTTACAGTGGGTCGGAGAAATTGACAATAATGGAGGCAACCTCTAATAGAGGGGATACTAACTACTTTCCCTATACTTGGGATGTTAGTTATGGAGAGAAGAGAGAGGGAGGGAAGAAGTGGTGAAGGGGAGAGAGTGAAGGGGAGAGAGTGAAGGGGAGAGTAGGAGGAAGGGAGGAAGATTTGAGAAAGGGAAAACTAGAGGATGAAGGAGAAGAGGAGGAGGAAGAAGAAGATGTAGAGGAAGAAGCAGGAGAAGAAGAAGAAGAAAAAAAAAAAAAAAAAAAAAAAAAAAAAAAAAAAAAAAANAAAAAAAGAAGAAGAAGAAGAAGAAAAACAAGGGGAAGATGATGAAGAAAGGGAGCACCTTCTCCTTTTCCCACTCACCTCCTCTAGTGTCTTGGTCTTGAGATGTCCACCTTGATGGAGTTCTCTCTTCCCTTGCACACTTGTCTTCTAGCTATGGCTTCCTTCTCCCTCAAACCCTCATCCTTCTCCTTCCCTCAGTCTTTCTTTGGCTACGGCAAACTCCTATCACTAGGGCTATGGAGTCCTCCCCTCTAGAAGGGCTAAGGGGACTCCTACTGGCCTTCCTCTCTTCCTCACAGCCTGAGGGCAAGTCACCTGATAATGAAAGCCCTCTTCTCACCTCCAACACCAATGTCAACAGTGTCCCTCACCTATCTTGGCACTAGCGGTTAATGAAAAACCAAAAATTCGGGGTTTTTCGCCGCATCGCTACAAGCAATGTTGTCGAAACTTTTGCAAACAAACTATGCAGGGTCATAATACAAACATCAATATCAGGCAAAAAGAAAAACCAAGAAAAAGTAAAAATTCCAGGAAATACGGCAGTTTCGATGAAAACGCCTGTTTTTTTGTGGCAGCTTCACTTCCTTTTGTGCTGGATGCGAGGCTCCTGGCCTGGCTGGACTGGTTGTCCCCTGTTCCACTTGCTGCGCCCAGAGACCTTCCAGAATGTGATGGGGCTCAACTGTATGTGCCCTGGGCCTCAACACCTTGGCTGGGCCCCAGCATCTGCAACCAACCGAGCTACCGGTTGGTTGGAGATGCTGTGTGCAGCAACCAACCCACAGGCCCCACTCTGCTCACATCGGCCTCAAATAGGGCATCATGAATTTCCGCAGGCTAGCCTTCACTTTCGGCGGACCCGGCGCTGTTTCCAGCATGCTGAGGGCCCTGATACTTCACATTTCAGTATTCAACAAATTTCCCTGAAAAATAATAAAAATTTTATAAAAGCAAAAACTCAAGCGAAACGGCTGATCTCTCTCTCCAAGGTAAAAAATACTAAAAAATTAGTAAAATGCAATGCTGAATTCCTACAATGAGTGTCTTTTTTTTTTTTTTTTTTTTTTTTTTTTTTCCCTACAATGAGTGTCTTAAAACATCCTTCTTGCTTTATCACAAGTGCTTTGTCAACAATCATTCAACAAATGATTCAAGTTCATTCAACACATGTAATCATCACAGTCAATACTCAATACTACGACATACCTTGCTTGCGGATTCCATGGAGCATCACTCCAGCTTCGTTCTGAAAATGGATGTTCACTGCTTGTGATGGGTTGGCCTTCTGACAACTCTAGGAGAAATCTGCAATCAAGCCCACTGTGCAATCAGACCTTGTAATTGATTATTGATGAGATGCCCTTAAGAGTCCACATTCCATTGTTCTCATATCACCATCGACAAATTATTCTTATATTATCCTCACATTGTCCTCACGTCATCCACAAATCATCCTCCTCACATCATTGTCCTCCAACCACTGCATAAGAGTATCACTTGTACTAATAACACACCTAGAAAACCTCAAACATGGTTTGGTATTACTAAGCCATGAAACGACAGATGATAATTAACTTTCTAAGTTTCTAAGACTCTGCTGATTTCAAAGAAAGACGATAATTCTGGTTCAATGTTGCTAAACCATCAAATTTGGAAACCGCACCAGAACAATAGCAAGGTTAACCAGTGCATATCAACAAAATGTAACACTACATGAATATTATAATATATCCATGATCCATTCGGCAACCAGCTGTCGAGTTTGATCCATCAACACCTTCATTTGTCATCACTCAGATTTGATTTTTCAGTAAATTTATTACCCCCCCAAAAAGCGAAAAGAAATGCAGTGCAATTAACTCGGTTCCAATCCGCACAGTCATGTACAATGAACTCAGTTCAAATCCGCACAGTCATGAGTCAGGGTCGTAACTTTTGGTCCAAGTCAACATTCAATGCATCTTCTAATTGTTTGATATTTCCCTCCATTATCTCTTCAGACAGTTCTGGTTCTTCGTTCTGTTCACTTCTCTCTCCTTGCTCTTCTTCTTTCTAAGCCCCTTCATCAGCTATCCCCGCAGTTGATCAATCACAAATTTATTTAGAGCCGCTCGGCTCAGATCAATTGTCCTTTGCACACGACAGCTGGTTTCCATCATCTGAACAGTAGCGTCAGCCTTCTTTAGTTCGCCTCCTGCTGCCCGCAGATTGAACTGGCTGCGCACGTGCTGCTCAACATCTTCTCCAGCGTCATGTAGTTTTGTGATCAACTGATGGAGACGGTTCAGCATCTGCTGCCATCTGTTCACAACTTGGCTACGGGTTTTGATTTCACCACCCTCTTCGTCAGCGAAGAAGGTGATGGAGACAGGGAAGAGGAAGAGAAGAATAAAGCGAGTCAAGATGGAGGAACGCAAACAATTCCAGATGAAACACATTTTTACAATGTGTGTCTGTCACACAATAAATAATTACAACTTAAAAGACAATAATCAATTCCACGGCCACACTAATTAATTTCGAATTTCCTACAGCAAGAAATAAATAAACAACAATAAATAAGGGAAAAATTTTCAATTTCTTCCACTTCTAATCCTGCTGTCTGTTCTGTGTGATGACGTTCCTAACGAGAGTGTACAGGTACCGCAGCCACGGCCAGTGTGATGAAGACACAACAACACAGGTAAGTATGCACAGCATCCACAGAACAGCCAACACAAGTGAGTAGAGTCGGCCAACACAACAAACAATCAATATGTCAGCAGCTCATCCTCTTCTGACTTTCCCCTGGGAATGCCAATGCGGTCAGGCACAAGGGCTGACGCGTGGAACTATTGCCAAATCGTGATGCTGTACCGCCCGCTAGCACACAAGTGCAAGTATCCACTTCTCACCAACGGCAGTGCACAGTCCCTGCCACGTGTCACCCTGGCATGCCAACGCAGCACCTCCGCAGAGTTGCCACGTAAGCGTCAGCGTCAGCGGCTGATAGGCCTTCAGGAAGGGTGCCACGTCAGCAAGGATAGTCTGCCAGATCATCCACAACTGGTATGCCACATCAGATCGAAGGTTCAGCTGGAGTATAGAGCGCCACGTCAGCAGGTAAGCCGCGACACAGGTACGTGCCACGTCAAACAATACCCTGCCAATACCTGGATGCCACGTCAGCACCCTCGCGTCATGCCACATAGGCAGTGCTTCCACATCAGCAGTCCCCTTTCTCTCTCTCTCTCTCTCTCTCTCTCTCTCTCTCTCTCTCTCTCTCTCTCTCTCTCTCTCT